TTTGTTTCTGTATTATGTCTTGATGCTATAATCACCTCAGTAACTATCCACATCATGTATTCTTATTCCGACTATTCAGGAGATAAAAGCAATACTTCTAAACCAACTTGCTCATTTCTTCCTCTTTGCTTGCTTTTGTGTCCTGCTTTCTTTTTGCTTTGAAAAAAAAAAAGAAACACACAACTTTCTGCCCAGATCATCTTTCTTCCCTCCTATAGAATCTGCTAAGTATGCATCACCTGTGATCTATGTCACGCAGCATTTAGTTTCAGTGCACCGTTTGAACAGGGTAGGGAACAGATAAAAATAATAAAACATGGGATTGCTCCATTAAAAATTTTAATGTCTACATACTTCTGTATATTTCAGGTTGATGTATCCAGAATGTCATCGGCTGGTTGTGTTAAACTGTGCAAAATACTCGTCTGTTGGAACATTTGAATATGCTTCTTCTTTAAGATAAATGTTCCTAGCAATGAATAAAAAAAAAATGCAGATAGTAAATGTTTTCTCATTTTAATATGGAAGCAACCTGAGAAACCTAAAGAAGATGTAACATAAACACTCTTAAAAGCTCATAAAGTTCACAATTATTAGAAAATGACTTAAACATAATAAGATCTTTTCTCCAAAATGTATGCCGCGTCTCAATACAGCAAACTTTTTCATCCTAAAATAAACTTCCAAAAATCTCATGATGAAAAAATAAATTAACACAATTCTGAAGTTTTGCTTTCATAATAGGAAAGCATCAGGCACTGTAAATTATTTTGGAAAATGTATGTATGCATGCATGATTTTAAAAAAGGGGAAAAAAAAGACTCAAAGACTAGAACACTGAATCACTTTGTTGTTTGGGGTTTTTTTGGTTGTTGTTTTTTTTTTTCTTCACATATTACCTTCGTCCTTTCCCATTAGAGCAGACACAAGACATGTCGACCAAGACACATCCAGTGGCTAGTTAAAGAATCATCTAGTTTTGTCATACATAATAGACAAGCTCAGTTTGTGCCATTAGCTTAACCCTGAACTACCAGAAACCAGCAGTTCTACTGAAGTCTGTGGATACCCATCCTTTCTTGTTTCAGAAAAGTAAGGTAAATTAAAGAAACACACACTGTTTTACACCTGGTAATATAATTTTCTGCATAGTTAATTGTATTTATTCTCTATTTTGCTATCTATATACACCATCTGTCATCAGTGGAACACTTTTTAAGAATTCCTGCTACTAATCCGTATATGTAAGTCAGTAACAATCACAACCTACTCCTTCAAGATTGTTCAAATAGTACTGGAAAACATGCTTGGCTGAATTGTTGTTTTTTTTTTTAGAAGTATAAACTTCTAACAAGTGTATTAAAAAAGTAACAAAAAATACAAGTAAAAGAGCTCTTTGAAAGCCAAGCTATTGTGTTCAGGGCAACGAGTTTTTGCTGAAAAAAAGAAAACTCTTTTAGTACTTACTTTGATTTCTGCTCCTGAGATAGGTCTGCATTTATGTTATCTAAAGCTTGGCGGCGTTCCCGATTCTGTCGTTGTTGGTGCCGCTCTAAAACCAACTGCGCTCTTGCAGCCTGTATCATTTGCCTGTCCCATTCAGCATCTCTCTGGCGTTCTTCCTCTTTTCGTCTCTACAGGAGTGAAAAAAAAGCTTCATCTTCTCTTTGTTCAAAGATGAAATGGTATCGATAAAGTCTGATCAGTAAATTAATCCAAACAAACTTGCTTGCCGCTACTGAACACTAGGGGTAGCAATTTAACTAGGGAGAAAAAGTAAGCACTTCCAAACTAGCCGGAGCCCATGAATTAGGCAGAAGTAAAATACTGCAGATGAGAAAACTACCCTTTTCCAGGGAGCAAGACAGACTCCTACCTCTGCATACGGTAAGAATTTGGAACTGCTGCCTAGCAGAAGTTAATCAGTAGATTACTATTTCTCTTTGACATCTTAGCTCTCTCTAAGAGCCCAGAATAGCAAGACTGATTTTTTTTTAATTAAAAAAAAGTTATTATTAGCAAGAGTTGTAACTTCTTGAGGTCAGAAGTTAGTAGTCATCAGTATGGCTTATAATATGGCTAACTCAGTGTAAAAACTGAGCTACTGGCACCAGATCAGTAGACCCAAACTGTTTCTTTCCTCTGCCCCTTGTTATACTATCACTTCCTTATTTCTTGTCTGAGATTACACTGAACTGATTGAAGAAATCAGGCCTGCAAAAAACTGACTTTTCTTTGTGGGGCTCATTTTCTGCCACCTTAACTACTTGAAGGGGTTAACTTTATGGTCATAGGACAGCCAAGAAGATGACAATTGTATCTTCAGCTTTAATAACAGCAGTAGATAAAGACATAGTGTAGCATATGGTATTGTAGGGATTAAAAAATAAAACCGAACAGCTATTCATTAGCTATTATGAGCTCAGCCCCTGCACTGAGTGAGGCAAGTAGCTTCTTACCCACAATACCTAGGCCTGTACACTTATGACTGCCTAGGAAGGGTAGATTTCTTCATTTTGACTGCCTGCTTCCATACACCTTTAGAGCAGCAATTATTAGCAATATTTAGTTTTTCTATTGTAATTCTATCCCAAAGCATGGCTCATAGTTGTGTGGGATAGTAGAAAGGAAATTCCGTTGCATTCACAAACTTTTAACATTACGAAATATGCATGAGCAGGATCCCTGGACCTTCTCTATTTGTCTTGCTTGAGTACCCTTGAGCATGAATGAGAACACTGCTCTGGCCTGCCCTGCTCTCACCCTCAGTTCCTGGCTCTTCTTACCCTACGGAGAAGCCCACTCCCGCTTATCCCTTGAAGACAGCTCATGCAGTCTCAAGTCCTAAACTGCACCATGAAGCCTGTCTCTTGGGCTGTGCCTGACCTTGCTCCTCAGCTGAGCCACAGTGGACCATGTCCAAAGATCCCCCCAGCCCCTTGGCCCTGGACTCCACAGCAGCTGTCCTCCCAGGCCAGCTCCAGGGCTCCAGCCTGCTTCTGCTGCTCCATGACATTTCCCAGATGCTTCAGAGACACTGTGTTCAGTTCCATCAATTAAAGTTTGGGTGAAATTCAGATCAATGGCAAACACAGTGTTATAAAGGGACATGCAGGGCAAAAAATAGTATTTTCTTCTACAAACATTGTCTATAATATTATTACAGCCAGGAATACAGGATGTGCATGTAAGCTTAAATACCAGGTTCTCCTGAACTTGTTGCTGTTGAGAATACCGGATTGCCATCAACTGATCCTGATTCATTCCCTTCCATCGATCTGTGATCACACGATGTCTACCAAAAGAACTGACTGCTTGCTCAGGGTTTTCAGAAAGTAAGTCTCCTTGAAGGAGGCTGGAAATTTCATCCATGTCATCCTTCATTTTTTGATACTTTTCCAACTTCTTTCTGTCTTCTAGTTCAGCAGCCTAAATTCAGTGAAACAAGAGAACTAATAGTTTTTCCAAGAGAAAATATTAACTAAAGGATGTAACAAAGTTAGCACATCGCAACAGATTTCTTTCCAACTTGCATGCAGTTGTCAACAGCATCACATATGAATAGTATGATCACGGTCCTATTGGCTAAGATCAAAAATCTAATAGTATACATTTCTTTAATGTTGTCATATCACATACATCAAGTAATTTGGGGAAAAATATTTTTGTTTTATAAGAAAAATCCATAATTAAATAAAAAATAATTTTGCATTTATCCACAAGCAATACCAGTTGAAATTTGGAGGCCAGACACAATATGGAAAAAATTTACAATAAAAGTTTACAATCTTGTATCACTAGCCTTAATATATATTACATATTAAATCTATGTGGAGGGCATGGTTAAGTACTCAAAACAAACAGATAAGAGATGCCTATGTTAAGCCTGAAAGTGCAGCCTTGAATCTGTTCCCTTTGGCTGATACAAAATGCAAACTTGAGTTATATTATGTGAGTACATCTGTGCTATTAGAAATCATAACATGCATTTCCTATGGAAATCACTGTTCCTAATGTCCACTATAAGGTCATAGTCTCCTATTCAGAGGAAATTTTCCCCTTCCAAAACTTCACAAAGCAATAACCTTCCAAAGAAGAATGAGCCTAAGCAAATTAATTGGAAATAGAATGATAATGCTATGCATCATCCATGTCTAATCCTGTCTCATTCTTCTGTAACACATAAACTAAACCATCTGGAACAATACACAGTGCTGGCTTCCATCTGGACAGAGGATACATAATCGCCTTCTTGCTAGGGCACAAAGAGCACAGGTTGCCAAACCTGTCTCTTGCATATGTAGCTTTATGTATATATCTTGACTGAAACAGACTAGTGGACACCCATCTCTCCAGTTTATCCAAGATTGTCTCATGTTCTGTTCAAAAATCACTGGCTAGAGAATATTCGATTTACAAGTTAAGTAGAACAACTCTGTACTTTTCTTGCTAATTAGCAGTTCACTGGTTGGCACACACACATTTAGAAAGTGGAAGAGGACAAATGAAAAATGAAGGGTTATGCATCAAGAAAGTTACAGCTGGTAAAAGAGTATTCTGTGGCATATAAGGCGAAGCTGAAAATCAGTAGGCAGAGCAACTAGAAGATACAAACTACTGAGAACAACAAGACTATCTAGACACACGTGTGGGAACCTGTTCCTTTCCAAATGTTATGGAGAAGAATCCTAATTCAGTAAGCACAGTGATCTACGCCACCAGAGGAGACTGTTAACCTGGGTTTATCCCTACACTTACATTTACGGACTTTGAGTTTGGATGACTACCGTTCTCCCAAGCATCAGGCTAGAGACTGTCAAAGAGCAACTTCTGTTTGCTCCAAGCAAACATGGATGACAATCTCTCAGGGATCAGAAAGAAGAAGAACTTAGTACTTAGTAAATAATACTAAGTACTATATCCTAGATTAATAAATTCCATGGCTGAAAACAGTCTTGTGGTTTTCATTAAAATAACAAAAGTATTTGATGTGCAAACAAACTAATAAAAGATAAATTATTTTTTTTAGAATTATAGATTAGTTAAGCCACAATTCAACTCAGATGATGCAGAAAACCTCATACCAAGTTTTGAGTCTGTGAGGAACTAACTGCTGCCAACACAGGACTAAAGGAATGCACTGCTTTTGAAGTCTTTATCACTAAGTCACAAAGCTCACAGACAACGAGAGTGACCAATCCAGGGTCTTAGGAACTTGTGAAAGTATTATTAATCTGTATAGTAAATGCAATTCCTTTGTCTCTATTATATAGATTCTTATCTCATAGAGAGAAAAGCACATCCTGAGCGCTCAAGCTAGGAACTTCCACTTAGCAAGGTCTGTTAAAAGTCAGTACATACCCTACGTTTCCTCATGCCCGAAAATGTGGTAAAAATGTTGAAATACTGATGATTCTAGACATTGACACTTTTCTCTCTTGAGAAAAAGATGCATAGAAAATCCCCTTGTAACATAGCTTTCTCTTAAAGACAGCATCACTGAAAGACCTGGCAACCTGAGATCTCTGGCTTGCATGTTTAATAAAGAAAAGACAGCAACTGTGCCACCACATCATTTCAGGGAAAAAGAAGAGCTTTTCTCAACCATTCAGCAAAAAAAGAAAAAGCTGAAAACAGTATCATGGTCTTAAAAAAAAAAGTTAACTATCTGCCTCAGAAAGAAAGGAGAGCTGCAAGCGGTAACTCCAATCTACACAGCATAGCAAACTGAATAAGAACAAAGAGGAGGCTGTTGCCCCAACCTCCATTATAAAGCCTTTGTTAGATAAAATCAAAACAAAACAAAATGAGAAAGACTTTTTATATATATTTAATATGCACACCAGGTCGAGTAGAATGTATAACACTAATAATGCCCAAACATTAAAAACCACACCACACACAAACGTCCCACCCTATCCCCAAACTTTGTCACAAATTCAGGAATTTTTACATGGAATCAATTGGTATGACAATTACTTCGGATACTACTGCTACCCTAAGTGCACCAGCCACTTAGGGTACTTTTGTGGCTATTCATACAAAATATTATTCTGTAGCCATGACTTCAAGCAGTAAAAGCCTTTCCAAATATTGTCTGAAAGGCTCAAGCAACACTTACACAAAGACTTGCATGCTTATATACTTAAACCAAAAGATTCCATACTTGATGTAGATAATTTTAATGTGGCTTATTTTGATGTGACTAAATAAATGTAAAGCTAAGTCACACCAAATAATAGTGTCCATGTAGCCCTTTGAGCTGTACATATAAGATGTATGTAAAAAAATAAATAAATCTGTGCAGTAAGATAAAGAACTGGAGCATGACAGACAATGGTACTAAGACAGACAATGGTACTAAGACAGACAGAGAAAGGGTCATGTCACGTTTCAATAGGTTCCAAAGCATGCTTGGTAAACAACCAAGAGACATGTACACAAAAACCAAGGAAGCACCCTGTGCCAAAAGCAGTGGTTGTGGGGAATTAACGTAAGCAATAAGGACAAAAGGGTATTAATGTTTCCACACAGGCAAAAAGAAAAGCAGGCAAACACAGTGAAGATTATCTGACAACTGATATAAAACCAGAAGGAAGCCTGGGAGGCTTTTACTGTAGCTTGGTTTACAGACTAAAAGTCCCTGAGAGACTTGGGAGCTGTTGCTGCCCTCTAGTCAGCAAGTTGAGAACCACGAGGGAGAATTTTGACAGAAGGTAAATAGAGAGATAGCTAGATCCTTGGAGAGGACAAAGTGAATAAATTCTATCTTCCAATTACTAAAAGAACCTGGAAGTTAGCTCCTAATAAACCTCTGTGAAAACAACATCACTCACTGTACTTTTGTGCATCTGATTTTCCATCTGTGTCTCCACCTTTTTTTAAAAACAAATAAACAACCCCAATATTAATTTACCTGGGCTCTATTGAAATTCTTAGTAGCTGCACAAACAGCATGCCTGTTTTCTTCTTCTTTTCGTTGTTGCTCCATCATCTTTTGGTCAAGTTCAATCCTATTCTTGTCATGAAGATCATCTAAATTAGATTAAAATGAAATTTAGTCAATATTTGTGGACATGATGTGCCATATGAGTAAGCCACTATAAGACACAGAGAGAGAGAGACAGACAGACAGACAGACAGATGAACTACAGATACAGTAGGCTGAATTACATAGCGATTTCCAAACCCTACCACCAAAGCTCTCCATCGTGGAATTTCAGGTGACTTGTGAAATCAGTTTATTATTTAACCCATCTTGTCTTATAGTTAGACAAAGTTAAAGTGAAAAAGTATGTTAAGTAAGGCAGAAAAAATGTTTCACGACAAGCTAGAAAAGAAAAATAAGTATTTTTTTGCCTGCTCTTGAAAAGCAAAGACTGGACAATTTGGTCTGCTGAAGTAAACATACCATCTAGTATGAAAAACAGGTGGTTTTTCAGAATGCTCTGATACTTCATTTGAGGCATACAACAGAGATGAAACCTAGGCAATATTACAATTATTCCATGTTATTAAATATAGATTTCTTAAGTGAGCTATTGAATACATTAGAGCTTGTAAAGTAAAAACTGCAGTGTCTCTAAAACCTATATACTGAATATACTAAAACACTGCTATGTCAAACTGACACAATAGGCTATACCATATTTTTGTCAGATACATTTCAGAAAAAGCAGATTAAAACCTTATTATCTTCTCTTGTTACCTGCAAATTTTTGATCAGCTAATACATTCTTCAATTCTCTCTGTTGTTGAAGAGACCACTCTCGTAACTGCTCCTTTTGAAATTTCATCCTCTGATCATAGTTTAAGTCTTCACCCATAAACTTCTGCAAGCCAGAAACAGTACATCGAGGATCATTGTCTGAAAGTCGAGCAGGTCTATCCTTCTTTAGGGCTTGCGGATCAGACAGGTCAAATTCACGTCTTGTTTCTGGCTTCTGAAAATTCTTCTGAAATTCACTGATAGCCTTATTTATGTTTCTGATATCATTTTTCTGTTGCTCTTCTAACATACACATGATCTTATCATTTTGCTTCATTTCATTAGCTAGAGAAAAATGAATACAATTAAAATACAACTCTTAGAAGTGCACATGTATCATGGAAGTGCATGCATAAGATGGAAAATGAAATTTTGAAGAGGAATAAATGGAATCTAAGTCTTCAAACTTTCGTACCTTAGGAAAGAGTATTTGATCTATGAATACCAGCCTAGCAAACACTAATGTTAGTATTATTTACTTATAAAATACTTCCAGTTTTTGAGCTATCAATTCTCTTATTAATGTTACAATGAAATATATGCACGTGAAACAAAGACAATACTAAATACTTTTAGAACTTTGAGGTTTCATTTGATTAAAACTAGCTATCACTAACACATGAATTGTGCTGTATATTAATTCTTCCCATTTGCTCTTAGCTTAGTTACAACTGAAACACATTAAGTTGCTTATTAAGAAACAAACAAAAATTGGGCTCCAAATGAAAGGAAGGGAATACATAGTTGTTTCATAGTTCCAATGGTTTTTCTAACCATAGCACTAAAATAATTGGCTAGCACCAATAGGTTTTGAAGAGCTTAATAGCTCTTGTCCATTTAATCAAAATGCTGTAATTCATTTAAAGAAAAACAAACAAACAAAAAAGCCCACCCAAACCTAGGTATTTTAGTGATTTAAATATAATTCAAAAGAAAAAATAATTTTTTATGTTGCCAGAGTACACGTTGCTTCTGGCAGTTTCCTAAGAGTCAGATTCTGACAGGTATTCTGCCAGGAAAATCACAAGGAGCTGTAAAAGCACAGCATGGAAGTTGGCAGTTCCATATCAGCTCCTCTTGAAACCCACAGAGAGCTCAGTCTGTGGGACCTTTTCACATGATACCACAGGAAAGCATTCCAAACACAGAAGACCACAAAGCATTTTGAGGTCAGGGGACACAGCTGAAATATTTGTGTGGCTACGTGTTCTGATTCAGCAATGGCTCGTACTTACAGCCCTGTTGTACATGACTCATATTTCTAGCAGTAATAACCTACAGAAGATTCTACAGAATCTATATATTCTATTGAAGAATAGCCAGACAGAACATGGGCTTACTCAATAAGCAAACAATCAAACAAATTTGCAACTACTATTCGGAAAAGAACAGAAGAATATTTTAAAAAAACCTGAATACTATCTTCAGGTCTCTAAACAATGCTATTTGTCAACATTTATTAAAAGAAAATACTGAAAATTCCAGCCTAGGAGGAAATGTATACCAGTTTAATCATGTCAATATAAATCTTCAGATACTGAGCAAAACACATACTGTACCAATGCAAACATATGAAAACAAACAGGACTACACATTATAGTATCCAGTTTTGTGTGTGTGTGTGTTTATATATATATATATA